CTTTCTGAAAGCATTGAACAATGGCATGACTGATGGAAGTTCAGAGGGGTCTTGCCACTGTGTTGATTTTGCCAGACATTTCAGTGTAATATAGAACATCTAAGGGAAACTGTAAGTGCTGGTGACGACCTAGGTCGGGGCATCCGTGCGTGACGTCACAACATCAGGACAGGTACATTCGTCTCGCGCATTTGCATAATAGGCACCTTACTGCCTCTGACTGCCCTTTATACCATAGGTACTCAAAACCGTCTTATCCATGCAAAAACTGTAAAGAAACGATTGCGGTCTACGTGCACTTCACTCGTTTGTAGGTTTGTCCCTTACTGCTAAGTATAGAGATGACATCCTCCGACCCCATGTTGTCCTTTTAAGGAGCAAACAACCTCACAATCCAGCAGGATAATGCTCGACCCCACGTAGCGAGGACCTGTCGTGACTTTCTATCCCTATAGAGCACTGTGGGACCAGCTGGATAGACAGGTTCGACGACGCCAGCTTTCCCCTGTTACTCTGCCCGAACGGAGAGTAGCCCTCTTGGATGATTTGGCCAACATCCCAATGAAGAGTATATACTAACTCATGAACTCCATGCCTAGGAGAATGAGGGTTGTGGAGAAAGCGAATTGGGGATTTACGCGGTTATTGACTAGCCAGTTCCCACAGTCAGTACATTTTGATTTCAGATTACAGAGGTCTTCCTTCAGTTAGTCTTAAAGCACTTAACAGATACAAATCGTTGGTTTTGCAGTTTGTTCTGTGTGGAATAATCTTCTTTCATACTTTTTAAAAAATTGATAATTATACTCAACGTCTTGCCTAGAATCTTCTTCAAAGTTTACCCGGCGTTTCTTTATTCTTTGAGTATTTTAAATACCTTGCGTAAGCTTTTTATTTTTTCCATATCCATTACATTCTGACGAATGTGAAGTACGACACTGGAAACCGAGTTAGGAATTAACACATTTTTATTGATATAAAATCATATAAGTATGGAAAAGTCACAAAGGATTAGCTACATTGCCTTATATAGTTTAGGAATGTTCAAAAATTCATTTATCTCCGAATTTTGCTCCAACTTCTGAATAAACAATTTATTTTAATTATCCTGAAATCAAGATTTGCACCCAACTCTGTACCCTTGATTTCTTTAAAATATATCTTATCGAAATAGAAATGATTTCGATTGAGAATAATGTCTAAAGATCGTGACGAATGTGGGTGTATAGACTTAATTTTTATAGACATAACATTGTTATAAAAACGATTGGGCACGGTCATAAATATACCAGAGAATCACTCTTTCTCAAGAATAATGCCTATAGTACCTGAGTGTTTGAATCTATTTTAGACACCACACTGACTTGAACTATACTTTCTGATCAATAAAAAATTATTAAGTAAAGAATATTGATATGTTTGTTATTCAATGACATGTTACACACATGTTGATAATATTTGTTGACTGCCTCTAATTGTAATATATATAAACTGTGTCCACGTGTTTATTATGAATAACGAATGTTCAAAATCAAGTGATCATGTTACCATACAACATGACAGATATGTATACTACAACTTGAAAATAGCCGTAATTATAAGACAGGAAGAACTATTGAATATACCACACTGTTTATTGAAAGTAATGACTGTAGACATTAACAAAACTATAATACACATTGTTAATTAACCTCAGTTTGTGCAAATAACAGCTCAACAGAATACAGTGGGGATTATATCGATAAAAACATAATATATGTGAGCGTTTTAAAGCAGAAAAAGATATGGAACGTTTCTATCAAAAGCTGGAAGTCTATCACAAAGACAAGCGTTTGGGTTCAGTAAAAAATCTAAATAAAACCATACTTACAGTGTCTTACTTGTACACAATATACATGAAATACTTGATAGATTGTTAATAAAAACCCATACCATACTAACAGTGTCTTACTTGTACACAATATACATGAAATACTTGATAGATTCGATTTGAATTAACCTATATAGGTCACTGCTGTTGCTTTTTAAAAGAACATAAAACAATGTTGCGTTTTAAAGAACATTGTTAATTTTATTAAAGCAGTCCCTATTGGCAAAATAATTGAACCTCTTCGAGCAATAAGCAAAGAAAACAAATAATGCAAAGACAAGTAAAGATTCATGTTAAAATCGTTATTAACATCGTAGGATCTAGATTAAAGAACGAGCTATGATAAGGTGTGAATGACATGTACCATATTTTACTACAGTAACAAGCTAAAACGCGAGTAAAACGTATAGTTTCTCGAAGGAAATTTGCGTGTGAAATATCCTGATAACACATATCCATTATTTATTTTCAATTGTTCTGTGTAAATAACATTGTTAATAGTGATAAGTCTTGGTATTTCTACAACATCACCTTAGTACTGCTTCTAGCAGTATTCTCTGAACTACAGTATTAAGATGTCTGGGAAATCTTCGTTACGAGTCTTAGAATGAGTGACAAGTTATGATACATTTACACAGCAAGCTTTTTTTTCTAGACTTCGCTTTGTATTGTACAAGGAAGTATGATGCGAATAAGAAATTGTTTGGTCACGTGACTGGTTTACAAATCGTCATCCTCTGACGCCCTTTATTTTGCTGATCCAAGAATTAGTTAAAGGGATTAAGGATTTAAAGAAAGATAAATCATCATCACATTCAATGAAATTGTTAATGTAATAACTGATCTATAACGCATTGCGATAACTGAACGACCTTGTGGAAGTTTACGTTAGTTTGTCAGAACGCAAATCTTAGGTGTAATCAATTTGCTAATCTTAAATCCGTAAGCCCATAGCTTTAGTAAGGACTTCGGGGTAAATGTTTCCAAATGTGTATGAAACAGGGAAGAATTCAAAAAATAATGTTTTCAATACATGAAGATTGATTACATAACATTATGTGTGATATCTACTCCAACAGTACAGGAAGATCGATGACATAACATTGTGTGATATATACTTTATCAATATATGAAGATCGATTACATAACAATGTGCGATATATACTCCATCAATATATGAAGATCGATTATTTAACATTGTGTGTGATATATACTCCAACAGTACATGGAGATCGATGATATAACATTGTGTGATATATACTTCATCAATACACGAAGATCGATTATATAACATTGTGTGATATATATTTCATCAATACACGAAGATCGATTATATAACATTGTGTGATATATACTTCATCAATACACGAAGATCGATGATATAACATTGTGTGATATATACTTCATCAATACACGAAGATCGATTATATAACATTGTGATATATACTCCAAGAAAACAGGAAGATCGATTACATAACATTGTGTGATATATACTTCATCAATACATAAAGATCGATTACATAACATTGTGTGATATATACTCAAACAATACAGGAAGATCGATTACAGAACAATGTGTGATATATTCTCCAACAATACATAAAGATCGATTACATTACAATGTATGAGATATTGTGGAAAGATAATGGTCACCTGTCCGATCACGTGTTGTTTTTTTTTTTCGGTCACACCCAGAGTAAGATCCCTCACGTTCTTATGTTTGCGCTAACGAGAAAGATTAGCAGCAGATGGAATATTTTGTATCACAATTGTTGTACAGAAATCCTTTTTATATTTAATGTGCGAGATATACTTCAATATATTAACACTCGAGACATCAAAGTATGTTACATTTCCAACAAATATTAAGTACAATAGAAACACTGATTACCGTAATGGTAGAATTATTGCTTTACCACCTTAGATGGTAATACTGGTATTAAATTGCTCGCTCGACAGAAATTCAAAAACACATTATAAACAGAATATCATTATTTTCTTGTAGAGCGTATTCGGTCATTAAAAAAACTTGCAATATTGGTTTTTAGCAGATTCTTTAAAATTCAACAGTCGACAAAAAGGCCTCGCCAAATCAATATTTTAGAACAGAACATTTTCAAAATTCCGATCTCTTTAGTATGTCTCAAATGACACAACGCGTATTGTGTGAACTAATTCTTGTGATCAAGATCCCGACAAACTATACAATAAATATAAACAGGGTCTGGGCGTATTTATTTATATTATCATATTATTATTTATATTGATCGTATAAGACATTTTTAATTGAAAACACAAACATGGTTAATTCAAGTTGATATGGTGACGGGTTTCTGTCTGTCATCAGATTACTGAGAAATGTACCATCATGAAATATGTAAACAAGTCAATAGACGAATAAACAATCAGCAATGATACATAATGGGTAACGTCATGTATACTGGACTATATAGGTATTGCCGGGCTCAGAGAAGGAAGTTAACGATCTTAAAGAGATAAGATAATAAATGTTTAAAACCAAAACTCATGATCATAACTGATATTTTCCTTTTACATTAGATATGAAATGTTATTCCATTTCACAATGCATTTAGAATTAAGAACATAATTGATATATAAATCTCGAATTCGTCATTGGAGACTTATCACTGATTCCTGGACAACGAGCCTAAACTAATCGTTACCGTTATGATACTGGCTCTCTATAAACAGTTACATGGCAGGTTATATGATACAAGTATTTAAAATGTGATGATATTGCGTGACTAAAGCTGAGCTAACATTTCTTTACACGAAGTTTAATGGGTTCTGGAAACAAAATACACAACAAACAAAAGCAAACCAGTGAGTCAACAAAAGCTTAATTGAAATTCAAAATCAGTGAAACCAAGTAAACTATGGACAAAAGACAAATCGAAACACAGACTTAGCCGCTGCGGGCCGATAGTTGGTGTTATATACAACTCAGATTAAAAAAAACTATTCTTGAATCTTTCTTACCCATAACAATAAAATTCGTTCATATGTCCATTCAGAGTGATATCCTGATGTTATCAGATACTTTTTAGACATCAAAAATGTTTTATTTATCTGACGTTTAATACCACTTTCTAACTACTTTCTCCGAGTCCTATTTCTTTGTGTTGTTATCAAATTCACATGATGAACTTTTCACAGTATCTTTGATTTGTGTAAGCACATTAAAATTGGACGCGAAAAAGATATATGAAGAGTTGTAAGCGATATCGTTTAACTGGTTCATATCAATTCCATTCCCTATTCCGACACATGCTACAAGGACGCCAGCATTCCTCATTGTGGTGGCTACTGCTGCTGGATCATCAGACGACTTTCCATCAGTCATAAGAATAACTACTTTCTCCGAGTCCTGTCTTGCTCCATTGGCAACTTTAAGTGAATTATTCAAAACATATTCCAAACCAGCGGCTATTCTTGTTCCCCCTCCAGTGTAGTTTATATCTTCTATCGCGGGATTCAGAGTTAATACTCCATAGTGTTCATTGAGCCAAAATTCATTACTTGGAGAGGAGGAAAATTTTGTTACACCGATCTGAATGTCATTTGGACCCAACCTAACATTTGCTGTAAAGTTTTGTATGAAATATTTCATTGTTCCAAAGTTAAAACTACCGATACTTCCAGATGCGTCCAGTAGAAATACGACATCAGTCTTCGAGTTGCAGTCTGAAATTGTGAATGGAGTCATATTATACTGTACGCTGTATGTCGATAGCAAGTGAGTAAGGTTACTTCAAGAGAAAAAAAATGCATAATAAGTATTCAAACGAATAGAGTAAATTCTATATATAACGAGACCATTTATTTCGAGACATCTGGTGTATCGAGACGAAAATAAACCCCAAAACACCTTCTTTATTCTTTTTCTTTGCATTTTTGTCCCTGCAACAACGAGACCGTCTCTATATCTCTATGCATGTAATGTCATAAATTCTACCTATATACGACAAGTTTTCATAAAGGTTCATAATCACTCAGACTAACATGTTTTAATATTCTTACAAACATGGCATGGTAAAAGCGCAATGTATAGCAATCGAATATGTATTAACCTCTAGTACTTTGACTATTATTGTTTAAAGAAGTTCGAATTCTCCAATGCAGAATACACACCATTAACTTATCAGACCGTCCTTTACTTATTTAAAAACACAAGTAAAACAGATTACTCACTTCCGTGTATTTTTTTTTTTTTTTATTTCTACAATATAATGTTAGTTGAATTTTTGTCTCCCCTGAGTTATCTATTACAAGAAATGGTTAAAAAAGAGAAATGTTATGGTTTACTCGATCTCCTTATATGATGAGTTCACTATGTATGTACATTAACAAAAAGTCAAACAGAGTGAGGTAATATGCCGAGCATCGACCTGTATGTAGCCTATCGCCATTTAAATATCAAGAATTCGACATCACTCCGAAAACTGTCTTACGATTATCAAAGTTTACTGACAATATTGAAGCAAAAGAATTTATTGATATTAACATTAAATGACAATATATTCAAACGGGAAAAAAAATCGGACAATTGTAGCATACATGTGTGAAAATAATTGTACATATATGACATGAAATACAAACTTTGTCGACGTTAGAATGCTGATTCTAATTTGTCGCACCTTACATAGTTCAAACCACTAGGTTCTCATTCGGAAAATATATACAGTGTATCCTTTTTGTGACAAGATAACAATGTGGTAGTATAGACTAAATAATCGTTCAGTCATGGATGTTATATGGAATTCGATCAAATGATAAGCCTGATTGAAGATCGGTGGACAAAAACCTAAGGTGATCACTTCAATTGACGTTTGTTTCTTTTCATTTCCTTTGTGTTTAGTTGTTGTACCGACTATTGATTTCATGTTGGAGATTCTTGCATGTCCGCCACATATGTCGTTTCAAATCAACATGCATTCACGAAAAGAGGGTTAACGTTTAGTATTAATTTGTGTATTGTTGTAAAATGCTTGATATACTGGATACCATATTTTAACCCCTTTTCAGATATTCTTTAGAAATCTATTTTTATCTATTATGTACACTGGTTCAACACAATAACAGATACAATAACACAAGTATTTCTGTTTCGATTCTATGGCTGTTACCATTATATAACTCTGTTTGTTTAGTTGTAAATATGCTTTACTAAAGAAACGATAAATCCGTGCAAACAACAGAAAAACCTGATTCATGACAACTCCATGAAATCACTTACCGTAATTCTCAGTAGGATCTAAAAAGAAAGAGATATTAAGATTAAAATTTCTTGGCAGTTATTGATGAATAACAAGCACGTTAAGAAATTGGTGAATTTTGAGCACACAATAACATTATCCCATTGAAAAAAAATGTATCCGATGTGCTGGTCTGCAAACATTTTAATGGCGACCTCTAGACAACGTTTTGTTATAGTGTTTTTGTCAATTTCCAGAAATATAACCAGGAAACAGCTTTCTATTTTATAACGTTTGATTAATGAAACGTACCAGTAATAATCACTTCTCCGGTAATACTGCTGGTATCTACCTGGCCGATAGAACTGTTGGGAAGATCGTCAGCGACCAGTGCAAGTGTGTCTACGAAAGCTTTCACGATATCCGCGGCTGTCAGTGTAGTTGATACAACGTTGTTATCACTGGTAGTGATCGTAATCTTTATATCTATATACAATACTATGGTGGCGATGACGCTTCCCTGTCTGATGAAAAAAAAACTGTTATCCGAAAGTTGTTGTTTTTTAAAATTAAATCATAAAAAAGACATAAACATTTTTATTTCCTGATCAGTGCCATAGAAACAGTTATATGAGGTATACTAATTGGTTCAATTTTCATTGAATATTGTTTTGTAGTTAAGCATACTCACTTAATTTGTGTAACTTTAGCCTTCTGGAAGTTTTCTCGCAAGTCGCTTTTTCCGTACACGTAGTTAGTCTACAAATATACAAATAACCATGTTTGTCATATTATCCAAACGAAATCCGACGTGTCTAATTAAAGACAGAATATACACTAACTATATTCTGCATATCGAAGGTCTTGTGCTGAACACATGATTTTCTGTTGGCATTGTTCATCTTTTCTTTAAGATTCACTTACCTCATTTTCTATCTGGCCAGCGAGGCTTATGAATTCAGGGCTATTTGTGTCGTTGTACGCAGGGGTCCAAGAGGTATTTTGCAAATGAAAATCTGTACTGAAATCTAATTAAAGCTAGCATGAAGAGTTTCTGTTCATGTATCATAATATTTTAAGTAGAAAGGCTAGTGTAATCAAATAGATGCTTTATCAAGATCAAATATCAGTTATCAATATGAACGTATAAGGACGCTAGTAAATTATTTAAAACCAAATAAATTATTCTCCTCTGGCACTACCTGTTGCTAGTCAAATTTTATACAACGATCTGATATCAGACGTGAATTTACAATTACAGTGACATTTGATAGGCTATGTTTTGACAACATAACTGATACGTGGTAAGATCTCCATTTACGACTATAATGACATCTGGTAGGCCATTATTTACAATGTCAGATATATCTGTTATACCACAATTTACAACAAAAATGATATCTTTACAACATAAATGATAACTCCCATGGTCACTATTTTAGCATAAGTAACTTCTGGTAGGCCATTATTTATAACACAAGTGACATCTGCTACGTCACTATGTACAACATTTTCATAATTGTGATAGTTTAAATGTTTTTCAGTTTATATCAAAATCTTAAATTTGTATATCTGTAAACAGGAATTGAGCTGACTTTAAATGATAAACGCCATATTGACATTCTTCCTTAGATTAGTAGTGCGTTTATAGCATGTCACTGTAATCTGTATTTTCCAGAAAGACAAATGCATTGCATAATGCAGTTCAATTTACTATTTTCCATTGGAGGATTCTTTCTCTTTTTCGCTAGTGTCTTTTCTGTACAATCATTTGTGCAAGACAAATATAGATATTTACAAGGAAAGAATACCTGCAAAGTCTACAATCATATCGATGGAGCTGCTGCTTTGATAGGAAGATAGTTTATCATTGGTGGCAACGCACTTGAATTCTGTTCCATTCTGGGCAGTCTCGGCGAAGAAGTCGTAGGTCTTCTTTATGGATTGGTAGCACGTGTCATCATCGTTATTAATAGTTATTGAGGGAACTTGTGTAGCTCTGACAAAGTCTGAATCAATTCCAGATCGAACATGGAGGTAAAGCTCACCGCCTTTCGACGCCAGTCTACCAGAACATGTCATGGCGTATCTTTCACCTTCCTGAACTGTATTATTTCCGTCCAATACTAGGTTAGTAGCAAGATCTATAACAAAGATACTGGTTCTAAAGGTGCATATACCCGCGTTAATAAATTTGCAAAAATGTGCCTTTCTAATGTGTAGTATTATCGCAGTAATTACCAATAATCAATTATTTGATTAAAATGGGTTCAAGGATGGTAAATAATATTACTACACAAATTAAATAGAATTTGATCTTAATGTGAAATTTTTTTACGATGTTCTAATTATCCTCTTATAAACAAAATACGTTTCAATAGCATACTACACACCTATTAATGTTCTGTTATTAATTAATTCTGTTAGTTTTTCTATATCACCTTACCTGTAATTATAACATTTGATGTACCATTGATGATGATCACACCGTCGTCTGTCAGTGTACATAAATAGCTCCCCCTAGCGGTACAATGTGTGGTGGTGTTAGGAAACTGCACTTTTAGTGTCATATCCTCGTTGTTATGTTGTATTCCAGCTGTGTACGAGGTATTGCCCTTTACGACAGTTCCGTTTGAATAAGCTATAACGTGTACATCATTATTATCAATGGATACGATACTGAAGTTGTCCCAACCCGACGGAGCATACCGGACGTTACAGGTAATGGTGATCTCCTCTCCAGGTTTTGTCAGTGAATCGTTCATTTCCATCTCTGGAATACAAATGTAACACCAGAACATTGTCCAAATGTTAACAGAGCAATTAGAAAAAAAATGATACAAACAATAATTATTGAATCACATTGCTTTTACACAGTTTTTTCGGAAAGTGAATCGGCCTGTTTTCCACAACGAAAATGGCAACATGGAACACATAACAGTCAAAAACATTTAAGTGGTGTTGCAAATTTAAGAGAAATTCGACAAACGGGAAAGAAAAGGAGGGAGGGAGTGAGGGAAAACGCGTAGGTCAATAGGCACTTACCTGCGACTTGTATTATGATTAACCGTGATTCTGACATTGTGTTGTTTCTGATTGTGCTGTTTATTCCTTCACACCTTAATTCTGTACCATTAAGTGTCCTATCAGCAAGAAAAGTGTAACTCTTTGTTGTTTGAAGGTAGCAGGCATCTGTTTTTCCAGTTATCGTCACAATAGGTGTCGCTTCAGACTTTTTAAATGATATAGTGTTTGAGGCTCTAATGTACAGATCCAGTGTACTAGACGGTGGAGTCAAATCCCCTGTGCAGTTCACTACATGTGTATCTCTTTCATTCCAGGTAGTATTCCCGACAATAGCAACGTTTTCGGCTAGATCTACAACTAGAAATCCGGAATATTTCAATGCATTTTGCAATACTAAATCTTCTGAAATATTATCGATAAATTTATAGTGCCTCAACTCATGATTTTTTTTCTAATGACATCAAGTCGATTTCACAACAGAAATCATTTGCAACATATTATTTAAAAGAAAAAAAATGCGTCATTAAAATAGTGCATCGGGTTTAAAAGAAACGTTTTGTTATTCTGAGTAATTAACACTTCATAGAATATAACTTACCTGGGATGGACACGTATTCGGTTTTCTCGACAAATACATTTCCATTGTTATGGAGTACACAAGTGTAGTTATTTCTGGCAAAACAATGATGCGTTGTGTTGGGGAATAGAAGACTAATGGACACATTATTTTCGCCAAATTCGAGAGTCAGTTGGTATGAGTTGCTGTCTTTCTTTGTTGTTCTGTTAGAATAACCGACAGCTATAATGCCAATGTTGATGTCAGCGGACACCAATTTGATTTCATTCCAGCCATTTGGCACGTATTGGATGTTACATTCGATTAATAGATCCTCATTGGGAGACGTGAGAGAGCTTTCGACCTGAATTTCTGGGGAAAATCAATTTGAACATATTAGTATGTTGATGATAACTAGAATATGTTTTCAGAACATCCCTATTCTCTTTTCAAATAAGTTTACGATTTTGCTATACCTACTTCATCAACAATTATCTACAGTAACACCTATGCCTACACGCCGTAATAAGCGGAGAATTCTGGAATTAATTTCTGTTGGGCAATTACCCTTCAACAGCAAAAGCAAACCATATACGCTTTCGTTTTAGGTGATATGTAACTCCTTCTTGCTTGTTAAGAAAGAGGAAAATCAAGCGTAACGAGTTTAGAAGCCGGGTAATCTGTCAGCAATGTAATCAATAAACCATATCTATGGTTGGCGTCAGCCAGCCTTGTCTCGATATTTTTATCAATTATTCTTCATTCAATTGCTTTGAATCAAGTTTTTTTTTTGTGAAACAGTATATCTGAATAACAATATAAGAACGTAATTTCACATGAACCAACCATCGACAATTAATCTGATCCAAAGATAACATATATATTGAATTGTAGCTGTATGGACATGCAATAAAGATATATACATGGACAAATATTTACCAACACTCACTAGAATCATCAGTGCAAAAGTAACAGACACTGAACCAAGTGTGGAACTTCCTGCCTCACACCTCATCTTTGTGTCATAAAATTTAATCCTAAATCCTTACTAATTATCTATTTACAACAATACAATCACACGTCAAGAACTGCATATAATGCTTACAGATATGTAATAGCAAACGTCGCCCAGTATTTCTATCGTACATACATTTTCTTACAATAAATGTAAAAAGGGATATAGTTACCGGCAACTTTCACCAAGATCATTTGTGCGCTAGAGATCGTCTGTGAACCAGGGAAGGAATTCGCTGCCTCACACCTCATCTCTGTGCCATTGTCAGTCTTACTGGCGCTGAGACTGTACTTCTGTGTTGTGTGGAGGTAGCAGGATTCGGTGACGTCACCATTCGTGATTTGAGGACTAATTGGAGACTTTGTAAATAACGTGGCGTTTACGGTTCTGGTATACAGGTCCAGTGTACTATCTGATGGAGCCAGATCCCCGCTACAGTTCACCACATAACTATCACCCTCGTTCACCGTTGTAGGCCCAACAATGTGGATATTCTCCGCTGCGTCTGCAACTTAGTAGCAGTATTTATTCGTTAATGACTCCATGGAATAATTGAAACAATTGCTATATAATTTTTGAAGCTATTTCACATTTCACAACATGAAATTTTTATATTGATTATCATTATGTTCAGATAGATACATAGATAAATGCCAAATATCATCAAGGAAGCTGTTACGTTTTGCATGGAATCTTCAAACAACACCTTAGGATCAACATACCTGGGATGGAAATGTATTCCATGGACTCCACAAATATATTTCCATTGCTATGAAGTTGACACGTGTAGTTACTCCTAACAAAACAATGCTTCGTGGTGTTCGGAAAAAGAAGACTCAATTTTACGTTGCTATCGCCGGGTTCAAGGGTCAGTTGGTACGAGTTGTTGTCTTTCTGTGTTGTTCCATTAGAATAGCCGACAGCTACAACTCCAATGCTGTCGTCAGAGGAGATAAACCTAACCTTATCCCAGGTGTTCGGAGCGTTTTGAATATTACATTCAATTTTGAGATCCTCATGTGTTGGAGTAAGCGATGTTTCAATTACTAGTTCTGGAAATATGTATACAAATCGTGCTCAAATAAGTCTAGTTTAATGACGGCACACAAAATATGATACAATACAACAATTTGTAGATCAATCCAAAAACATTTAGAAACTATAAAGAAAATACAGACATATCAGCAGAATCTTCGTCTAACTGAACTTTGAGGAAACTAGGATTCAGTGATAAGCATAAGAAGAATAAGACCAGGTGTTGAGGTAGAGTATACTTTTATTCGATCAGGCCTCGTAGAGAGCTTCTAACCCTTATGAGTAGTCGAAGTATTTTCGTTCATTTATGTATGAATTGGAATTGGTATGCTTGTTCGAGATAATGAAATGTTCTGTGTAATACAGTTGTTGGATCATACAACGCTCCATAAACTTAGTGCGCACATCGTGCACACATCGTCGGCACATACACACGATACAGAATCTAGCCTACTAATATACAATAGGATCAGATCAGCAATTCTTAATGCTACGTATCAAAGCTCAATCGGAAAACTTACGAAGTTATCACTATACAGCAACCATTCTAGTTTTGATCATTGATTAACAAAGTCATCTCTACTTTTTTCACTATTGAAAAACTACCGAACCCTGTGTCTCGAGTGAATATATTTGACATTCAAAGAGTGGCGAGTTGTGTTCTCCAGATATAAAAAAAACTATTTTGATACCTACATGACAGGACTGTACCGACAAGGTCGCTGGTGTAAGATAAACAACACCTTGAACTTAGTTGAGCATATATAATTGTCTTTACGAAATGAAAAATTGAAATACAAAAGATATACAATTAATATTTCCTTTCCAACAATATAAGATTTTAGTCGATTCATTACCGATTTAAAAAGGGACGTCTTTCTAATGTTTACATATGTAAAGTATATACATTGTATCTTTACATTATGATCTGTCATGTGTTGAGTTTTGTATGTTACTGATAGATCTAACCGTTTCTGACTTAAATCAATATAGGTTAATCAGGAAATATACACAAACCTCGCTCTTTTCATCTATATATTAAGACAATAAGTTGATCCTATCCAATACTTACTCCTAAATCCTTTCTAAACAGCTATTTACAATGATACATTACACATCTAGAACTGCAAATGGTGCTCACAAATGTGTAATAGCAAACGTCGCCCAGTTTTTCTATCGTACATACATTTTCTTACAATAAATGTAAAAAGGGATATAGTTACCGGCAACTTTCACCAAGATCATTTGTGCGCTAGAGATCGTCTGTGAACCAGGTAAGGAATTCGCTGCCTCACACCTCATCTCTGTGCCATTGTCAGTCTTACTGGCGCTGAGACTGTACCTCTTTGTTGTGTGGAGGTAGCAGGATTCGGTGACGTTACCATTCGTGATTTGAGGATTAATCGGAGACTTTGTAAATAACGTGGCGTTTACGGTTCTGGTATACAGGTCCAGTGTACTATCTGATGGAGCCAGATCCCCGCTACAGTTCACCACATAACTATCACCCTCGTTCACCGTTGTAGGCCCAACAATGTGGATATTCTCCGCTGCGTCTGCAACTTAGTAGCAGTATTTATTCGTTAATGACTCGATGAAATAATTGAAACAATTGCTATATAATTTTATGAAACTATGGTTTCACTTTTCACAACATGAAATATTTATATTGATCAATGATATGCCCATATGGATATTTTGATAAATGCGCTTATATCAGAAAGGAAGCTGTTCATTTTTGGCATGAACACTTCAAAACAACATCTCAGGATCAACATACCTGGGATGGAAATGTACTCCATGGACTCCACAAATATATTTCCATTGCTATGAAGTTGACACGTGTAGTTACTCCTGACAAAACAATGCTTCGTGGTGTTGGGGAAAAGAAGACTTAGTGTTACGTTGCTATCGCCGGGTTCAAGGGTCAGTTGGTACGAGTTGTTGTCTTTCTGTGTTGTTCCATTAGAATAGCCAACAGCTACAACTCCAATGCTGTCGTCAGAGGAGATAAGCTTCACCTTATCCCAGGTGTTCGGAGTGTTTTGAATATTACATTCAATTTTGAGATCCTCATGTGCTGGTGTAAGCGATGTTTCAATTACTAGTTCTGGAAATATGTATACAAATCGTGCTCAAATAAGTCTAGTTCATGAGGAAACTAGGATTCAGTGATAAGCATAAGAAGAATAAGACCAGTATACTTTTATTCGATCAGGCCTCGTAGAGTTCTTCTAATGACGGCACACAGTATATGATACGGCGTACAAATATTCGATAGGATCAGCCATTTTTAATGCCACGTATCAAAACTCAATCGGAAAACTTGTGAAGTTATCACTATACAGCAACCATTCTAGTTTTGATCATTGATTAACAAAGTCATCTCTACTTTTTCACTATTGAAAAACTACCGAACCCTGTGTCTCGAGTGAATAGATTTGACATTTCAAAGAGTGGCTAGTTGTGTGATATTTGTAACAAAATCTATTATGATATGGACATGACAGGACTGTACCGACAAGGTTTCTGATGTAAGACACACAATACCTTGAACTTAGTTGAGCATATATTATTGTCTTTACGAAATGAAAAACCGAAATACAAAAGGTATGCCATTAGTATTTTCTCTCCAACAATATATGATTTTAGACGATTCATTACCGATTTAAAAAGGGACGTCTTTCTAATGTTTACATATGTAAAGTATATACATCGTATCTTTACATTAAGATCGGTCATGTGTTGCATTTTTGTCTGTAACTGATAGAGCTAACCTTGTCTGACTTAAAACAATATAGGTTAATCAGGAAATATACACAAACTTAGCTGTTTTCATATATATTAAGAAAATAAATTTACCCTATCCAACACTTATTCATACGTCATTTCTAAAGATTTATTTACAACGATACAATTACACATCTAGAACTGCACATGGTGCTCGCACATGTGTGATAGCAAACTTCGCCCAATATTTCTATCGTACATATATTTTGTTACAATATTTGTAAAAAGGGATATAGTTACCGGCAACTTTCACCAAGATCATTTGTGCGCTAGAGATCGTCTTTGAACCAGGGGAGGAATTCGCTGCCTCACACCTCATCTCTGTGCCATTATCAGTCTTACTGGCGCTGAGACTGTACCTCTTTGTTGTGTGGAGGTAGCAGGATTCGGTGACGTTACCATTCGTGATTTGAGGATTAATCGGAGACTTTGTAAATAACGTGGCGTTTACGGTTCTGGTATACAGGTCCAGTGTACTATCTGATGGAGCCAGATCCCCGCTACAGTTCACCACATAACTATCACCCTCGTTCACCGTTGTAGGCCCAACAATGTGGATATTCTCCGCTGCGTCTGCAACTTAGTTTCAGTATTTATTCATTAATGACTCGATGAAATAATTGAAACAATTGCTATATAATTTTATGAAACTATGGTTTCACTTTTCACAACATGAACTATTTGTATTGATCAATGATATGCCCATATGGATATTTTGATAAATGCGCTTAGATCAGAAAGGAAGCTGTTCATTTTTGGCATGAACACTTCAAAACAACATCTCAGGATCAACATACCTGGGATGGAAATGTACTCCATGGACTCCACAAATATATTTCCATTGCTATGAAGTTGACACGTGTAGTTACTCCTGACAAAACAATGCTTCGTGGTGTTGGGGAAAAGAAGACTTAGTGTTACGTTGCTATCGCCGGGTTCAAGGGTCAGTTGGTACGAGTTGTTGTCTTTCTGTGTTGTTCCATTAGAATAGCCAACAGCTACAACTCCAATGCTGTCGTCAGAGGAGATAAGCTTCACCTTATCCCAGGTGTTCGGAGTGTTTTGAATATTACATTCAATTTTGAGATCCTCATGTGCTGGTGTAAGCGATGTTTCAATTACTAGTTCTGGAAATATGTATACAAATCGTGCTCAAATAAGTCTAGTTCAATGACGGCACACAGTATATGATACGGCGTACAAATATTCGATAGGATCAGCCATTTTTAATGCCACGTATCAAAACTCAATCGGAAAACTTGTGAAGTTATCACTATACAGCAACCATTCTAGTTTTGATCATTGATTAACAAAGTCATCTCTACTTTTTCACTATTGAAAAACTACCGAACCCTGTGTCTCGAGTGAATAGATTTGACATTTCAAAGAGTGGCTAGTTGTGTGATATTTGTAACAAAATCTATTATGATATGGACATGACAGGACTGTACCGACAAGGTTTCTGATGTAAGACACACAATACCTTGAACTTAGTTGAGCATATATTATTGTCTTTACGAAATGAAAAACCGAAATACAAAAGGTATGCCATTAGTATTTTCTCTCCAACAATATATGATTTTAGACGATTCATTACCGATTTAAAAAGGGACGTCTTTCTAATGTTTACATATGTAAAGTATATACATCGTATCTTTACATTAAGATCGGTCATGTGTTGCATTTTTGTCTGTAACTGATAGAGCTAACCTTGTCTGACTTAAAACAATATAGGTTAATCAGGAAATATACACAAACTTAGCTGTTTTCATATATATTAAGAAAATAAATTTACCCTATCCAACACTTATTCATACGTCATTTCTAAAGATTTATTTACAACGATACAATTACACATCTAGAACTGCACATGGTGCTCGCACATGTGTGATAGCAAACTTCGCCCAATATTTCTATCGTACATATATTTTGTTACAATATTTGTAAAAAGGGATATAGTTACCGGCAACTTTCACCAAGATCATTTGTGCGCTAGAGATCGTCTTTGAACCAGGGGAGGAATTCGCTGCCTCACACCTCATCTCTGTGCCATTATCAGTCTTACTGGCGCTGAGACTGTACCTCTTTGTTGTGTGGAGGTAGCAGGATTCGGTGACGTTACCATTCGTGATTTGAGGATTAATCGGAGACTTTGTAAATAACGTGGCGTTTACGGTTCTGGTATACAGGTCCAGTGTACTATCTGATGGAGCCAGATCCCCGCTACAGTTCACCACATAACTATCACCCTCGTTCACCGTTGTAGGCCCAACAATGTGGATATTCTCCGCTGCGTCTGCAACTTAGTTTCAGTATTTATTCATTAATGACTCGATGAAATAATTGAAACAATTGCTATATAATTTTATGAAACTATGGTTTCACTTTTCACAACATGAACTATTTGTATTGATCAATGATATGCCCATATGGATATTTTGATAAATGCGCTTAGATCAGAAAGGAAGCTGTTCATTTTTGGCATGAACACTTCAAAACAACATCTCAGGATCAACATACCTGGGATGGAAATGTACTCCATGGACTCCACAAATATATTTCCATTGCTATGAAGTTGACACGTGTAGTTACTCCTGACAAAACAATGCTTCGTGGTGTTGGGGAAAAGAAGACTTAGTGTTACGTTGCTATCGCCGGGTTCAAGGGTCAGTTGGTACGAGTTGTTGTCTTTCTGTGTTGTTCCATTAGAATAGCCAACAGCTACAACTCCAATGCTGTCGTCAGAGGAGATAAGCTTCACCTTATCCCAGGTGTTCGGAGTGTTTTGAATATTACATTCAATTTTGAGATCCTCATGTGCTGGTGTAAGCGATGTTTCAATTACTAGTTCTGGAAATATGTATACAAATCGTGCTCAAATAAGTCTAGTTCAATGACGGCACACAGTATATGATACGGCGTACAAATATTCGATAGGATCAGCCATTTTTAATGCCACGTATCAAAACTCAATCGGAAAACTTGTGAAGTTATCACTATACAGCAACCATTCTAGTTTTGATCATTGATTAACAAAGTCATCTCTACTTTTTCACTATTGAAAAACTACCGAACCCTGTGTCTCGAGTGAATAGATTTGACATTTCAAAGAGTGGCTAGTTGTGTGATATTTGTAACAAAATCTATTATGATATGGACATGACAGGACTGTACCGACAAGGTTTCTGATGTAAGACACACAATACCTTGAACTTAGTTGAGCATATATTATTGTCTTTACGAAATGAAAAACCGAAATACAAAAGGTATGCCATTAGTATTTTCTCTCCAACAATATATGATTTTAGACGATTCATTACCGATTTAAAAAGGGACGTCTTTCTAATGTTTACATATGTAAAGTATATACATCGTATCTTTACATTAAGATCGGTCATGTGTTGCATTTTTGTCTGTAACTGATAGAGCTAACCTTGTCTGACTTAAAACAATATAGGTTAATCAGGAAATATACACAAACTTAGCTGTTTTCATATATATTAAGAAAATAAATTTACCCTATCCAACACTTATTCATACGTCATTTCTAAAGATTTATTTACAACGATACAATTACACATCTAGAACTGCACATGGTGCTCGCACATGTGTGATAGCAAACTTCGCCCAATATTTCTATCGTACATATATTTTGTTACAATATTTGTAAAAAGGGATATAGTTACCGGCAACTTTCACCAAGATCATTTGTGCGCTAGAGATCGTCTTTGAACCAGGGAAGGAATTCGCTGCCTCACACCTCATCTCTGTGCCATTATCAGTCTTACTGGCGCTGAGACTGTACTTCTGTGTTGTGTGGAGGTAGCAGGATTCGGTGACGTCACCATTCGTGATTTGAGGATTAATTGGACACCCTCGTTCACCAACAATGTGGATATTCTCCGCTGCGTCTGCAACTTAGTAGCAGTATTTATTCATAAATGACTCGATGAAATAATTGAAACAATTGCTATATAATTTTATGAAGCTATGGTTTCACTTTTCACAAAATGAGCCAATAATATCGCCAAATATCATCAAGGAAGCACCTTTTGTTTGTAGGCCCAACAAATATAATTGTGAAGTTGATATTACTCCTGACAAAACAATGCTTCGTGGTGTTGGGAAAAAGAAGACTTAATGTTACTTTGCTATGCAACTTACGAGTTGTTGTCTTTCTGTATTGTTCCATTAGAATAGCCAACAGCTACAACTCCAATGTTGTCGTCAGAGGAGATAACCTTCACCTGACTGGAATGTTGCATTCAAAATAATTGAAACAATAATGGAGAAACATTATCGGAAGTATAATTCAGGTAAAATATGAAACAAATATATCAGTTTTACAAATATTTTTAATCATTCTTTTTAAGCAGAAAAAACAAGTGCAGCTGGATAATAAAAGCATAGAATTGATACTGACACGTTACAAGATAGTAATCAAAATTCCGGATCAATAATTCCGAACGAGAGCGAGCGGAACTATGGAAGAAAGGATATAACAGAGCAAGCAATATTGTTATTTTTCAATGTCGAAGAGAAATCGTAATTATCTCCGCTATTGATGTGAGGCTTCTTCTATAAGGTATATTATTATGTTTTGACGGCGACATTTAATCTAGTTGGTATCTATGATTATGAGAAGGGAATTGAATTTGGCATGAATTTGAAAGGCAACTAAACATGAAAATACCTTGCATGTTTTAATTTTATATTCAAAAGAAAAACTCTTACCGGTCAAACAACCAAAATTGTAAATAACATACTACTATCATATGTGGCCTATACGTGTGAATACAGTCTAAGAGAAGTAACAAGAATACTTACTAGCAGGGATAGGTCTCGTGGTTGTTGTTACGCTTGTGGAGGTGGTCTGCTCCGCAGTACTTGTGGTTGGCTCCGGAGTGGTTGTGGTTGTGGTTGGATCTGGAGTGGTTGTTGTTGTGGTTGGATCTGGAGTGGTTGTAGTTGTTGTTGGATCTGGAGTGGTTGTAGTTGTTGTTGGATCCGGAGTGGTTGTGGTTGGATCTGGAGTGGTTGTAGTCGTGGTTGTGGTTGGATCTGGAGTGGTTGTGGTTGTTGTTTGCTCTCGAGAGTGGTTGTATTATTTGAAACATGAGTCGTTACTCCTTGTGTCAAATATGAAGCTGCAATAACGAATATGGACCCTTCAATGACTGTGAAGGACCCAAGTGTCCCATTTACTCCAATGTGCGTCGTTATCGCCTCGACATACTTGTTACTGACCGGTATAATATTATCACCCGATAATAGTGATCACGAGTGTAGCAATGATGCTGCCTTCTCTGAAACATGATCATT